ACTTGCGTTTGTTTAATAGGAACTTGCGTTTGTTTAATAGGAACTTGCGTTTGTTTGATAGGAACTTGCGTTTGTTTAATAGGAACTTGCGTTTGCGTATTAGGAACTTGCGTTTTATATTATTTAAAGTTCCAACCGAATCTACGTCACAGTTTTGACATGTATGCGTTAATTTAGGATTGTAAATCGGGTAGGTAGGGTCGATTTAAAACGATGTACATGATTTTTCATCTAACTTTAAAGAATAAGTTGGATAAAAAATTTRGTGACACGTTTTACCGGTTGAATTTTAGAAATTTCTTTCTAACAAATGTCTAATGAAATGTACTAGTTAGAAAGATAATTATAAAAGTAGAGTCTTAGCCCGTGGGTCTCCGAACACAGCAACCTTCTCGCGGTGAGACCTGGGTCGATATTACTTGTGATCTATTCCAAATGTAATTGTAAATTATGTAACGCAAGTACTATCGGGCGAATGGCTGTGTTAGATTCAATGTAAAATCTATTTACATGTTTAAATTATTATTAACTTTCTTTTGGTCCTTCTGACACATGAATTTGATTAAAAATAATCAAATGAATCTTAGATTTATCAAATAATTTGTTAAACTAGAGAACATTATATAATTTATGATAGAAATAATTTTGCTCAAGACTAAAAACTTTTAATTATTTTGGAAGCAGGCTTTCAAACGAAACAACAAATTTGTTATTCTATCTTTTCATTAAATTTACTTTTATATTATAAAATATAATACCATGATGTATTATAAATCTTAATTATATTAATAACTATTTTGTGATATATATTTATATATGTTAATTATGTTTTTTTAGATCAGGCTTTCCAGCTTCTAATATACTAATCTCCCGCTTCTCCCTCCCTCCCCCCACCGATACTTTCTGTGTTCTCATTTATGCGTATGCCCAGGTGTTACACGTATATACTATCAAAGATTATATCATTTGTACTATCATATACACTATCATATACTTTCAAATAATATAATATTCATTCAATATATATTGTATTCATTCATTGAATATAGTATTTATTCAATGAGTATAGTATTCATTCATTTAAATATTATTTTTTCATAGTATTTTATCGTCACATGGTAAATAACTACTATCGCTTACTGGTGGTCATGGTAGTAACTGAGATATGTTAGGTTAAGTTAAGAATGCATCTAGGGGCTTCTATATTCTTCCGTATTCTTTGGTTATGTATGATTTCTGCGTTATCACTGGTACTACGATTTGATTCTATTTAGTTTCTGATAACGTTGTTCGCAATATAAAAATGGTAAAAAACTTGGACAAGAAGTATTCGATAGTTAAGTCTATGATACAACTTGTTAGTGTAAAAAGATATTGCAATTTCATACTGTGGATATAATAACCATTCAGTATACAATTTGAAAGTGCAACTGTTGTGACGTAGTTTTATTTATATAAAATACATAAAAGAGTAATCTTTAATTATAAACAATGGCGAACGATCGAGAAGTTTTAAGAGAAATTTGGGATGGAAAAATTCCCGTTTGTTTTACACTCGATCCTGAAGAAACGTCAGAATTGCAAGGTCCTGATCCGTTTTATCTTATGGTGCCTAGGTTAAGTTATTTTCCAGTATGCACAGAAAAGGTAGAAAAAAAAATAATAATAATTGTTATTGTTTTTTAATTTTCAAATATTTACACTTACCAAATATTATTATCCACATTGTTTGTGGTGTATAGGTTAGGAAACATTTTATAAAACATATAGAAACTGATAACAAACAGGATCATGAAATGTGGTTAGAATTTAATGGAATCCCTTTAAAGTGGCATTATCCTATCGGTGTATTATTAGATATATATTCTAATGACATTCAATTACCATGGAATATCGTTGTTCATTTTGATAAATTTCCAGAAAATGTCTTGATGCATTGTCAAAACAAGTATGTAAAGTTTCTTCAAGTTCAATGTGATATCTTTGAAAAAAGTAAGTCCTAATTTTTACTAATTTTATATGTCAGAGAAGTTGTGGAATCACATTTTCTTGCTTGCGTGAAAGAAGCTGACGTATTAAAACATAGAGGACTAATCGTATCGTCCATGCAGAAAAAAGAACATAGCAGTTTATGGAATGGATTAATTACAGACAAATTTGATCAATTTTGGTCAATAAATAGAAGATTAATGGAAGCAGCTAACAGCGAAGAAGGATTTAAATACATTCCATTTCGATGTTATACAAGTGAGGATAAATATATTCAAAAACTTGTTAAACCGGTAAATGAAGAAGGCCAAAGGAAAACGTTAAAACATTTATTAAATGAAGTATTTCCAGATCAAGAATGTGGTATGTAGAAAGATCGGTTTGCATTATTACAAAAGAAGATAACTTCTTAATTAGATTTTATATTTCATAGTTGAAGTACGCACTCATGGGACTATTCCACCACCAGAAACACCGTTGCAATGGATGTCAGAACATTTAAGCTATCCTGATAATTTTTTGCATTTAGTTGTAACTTCCTCGTAACCTACATTTGAATAGTTGCAGTTAACAATAACTTTGGTGTTATTATTTAAATGTTGCTGGTGATCATTCAGGAAAGAGATCCTTGTATCATGTATCTTCTTCTTCTTCTTCTTCTTCTTCTTCTTCTTCTTCTTCTTCTTCTTCTTCTTGTGTATACAAAAACATTAATTTTAATTCTTATTTATTTTCAAATAAGAGTCAAATGTTGATTCATTTAGTCTCTTTAGTTTTATAACAGTTAATGTATATGCAAGCTAACGTTTACACAAGAAAAATAATTAATAAAATATCTATTTATGTCCGCCGAATTGAATTGATTGTGTTTCAAGTATAAACGTGTCATCGTACATTATCAATGTATCATATAAAATCATTTGTGAAATAATTTTTAAGCATAGTTTAAAGAACGACGATTACAAACAATAGGATAGTTTGATTTAATATGTGCAAAGTAAGCGATATATATATATATATATATATATATATATAATTAATTAACGAATATATATTTATTGAATAGTTTTGAACATTATTTAAGCTATAGAACAATTTTCACGTGGCTTATGATACATTCTTAAAATTCTCGTAGGCAAAGTATCATTTGCAACATCCGAAGCTTCATGAGGTCTACGAATTATTACAGGTTGATTTCCATAATTACTGTACTCCATAGTTCTACGACTTGTACCAAAACTCAAATAATTCACAACTTCTTTCTTGTTCTGTTGTTCCTGTAAAAAGAAAAGGCAAAAAAAAAATGAATTTCAAGGTGAGCTAAACATTTTTTTTTCTTTTTTTTTTACAAATGTAAAATAATCAATCAAGATATGAGAATAAAAAAATAATTGTAATTCTGTAAAAACGATGAATTACCTTAAATATAATTAATGCCGTATCTTGATATCTTCTTCGTATATCCTCTTTCGTCAATATATGATCGTGATCAGGTGGTTCATATCGTGTAGTCATTTACGATCTTTGAATGTATTACGTTTGTATATCGTAACTCGATCCATTAACATTTCAATTTCATTTTCCAGATGTTCCTTGAACGATTCTTCCTTTCTTGATTTATCTTTTTCACTGTAACTGTATAAAGATTATTTAATAATCTTCCAGAGTGAAAAACAAATATGACTTGTTAGTAATATTTTTGTATCATCTAATCTCATCGATTAATTGAAAGAGAAAAAACAAGAAGAATTCATGATATATGGAAGAAGAAAAAACCAGAGAGAGAGAGAGAGAGAGAAGAGGGTTGAAGAAAGAAGTAGTTTAAAAAAAAAAGGCACAAAAAAAGAACGTAGGATAAAAATATATACTAAGAACTTTTAACGTTTACTTTCGCAACGACAGAAAAACGAGATAAAAATGAGAACTTTTTCTACTCAACTAAAAGTTGAAAGAAGGATGGATCCATGATGCGTGCCTTTGTCTCTATCTTTCTCTCTCTCTCTCTCTCTCTCTCTCTCTCTTTTTTTTTTCTCTTTGTCGTTATGCGCCTTCAAGAACGCGCGTTCTCGCTTGTCCCTATCCTCTTTGAGTGCAAGTGCGCTTTATAATTAGCCGCCATCGTGAAAATGACTCTCGAGTGAGAGAGAGAGAGAGAGAGCGGCAGGAGCATTCACTGAAGGTTTTCCCAGTCAAATTGCTGCTCAAATGTGACGACGGTGTGTTTTGATGTCACGACTTAAATTATTCCAACTTTAATCGCGGTTATTTCCCCGATTATTCTTACCTATGCATTTGTCTCTCTCTCTCTCTCTCTTTCTCCCTCTCTCTCTTGGTTAAACCGTTCATTTTTCAACCGTTCGAGTATTTTCAAGGAAAAACTTGTAGTGAAAGATGACTTTCTTTTTTATTTATTTATTTATATTTTTAAATATTTTATTTCATTTTTTTTTGTTATAAGAAAGAGATAGAAAAGAAAGAGGAAAGGTTTGATTGATGCAGTAACAGTAAAAGCATGCAAAAAACAACTCTCATATATATCAAGAATTAATAATATAACGTGCTTTTATTTATATTTTCTTTTACTTCTTACCAATAAAAGGAACGATTTACTTGAAGAAGACTAGAAGAACTAATTACGTGATTAGTAAAGCTCTCTCTTTCTCATTGTACTACCGATCACCACCCCTTCACAAGTTTCTGATGCGAAGAAGAGAATCAGTCACGTTACTTGGAATAGGGCCAGGAAATTTGTTGGGTATTCCTTTTGAGTTTCCGCCGGACAAACATCATTGGTAGATGTATCAGAATGTTTTTTTTTTTTTTTTTTAATTTATTTTAACGTTTTGTTTTCACATGTTTTGTAGTATTTAATCAATAAACAGTAGAAACGACGATAAACATTTTAGCAATGAGATGAAATTTTCTAAAATAATCGTTCAACAATTTTAGAAAAAAAAGGTTCTTCAAATTAATTGAATTTTCTTATTGATTGTATTTTATGGGACCACCTCGTAGGTCCCATTGTGAATTTATAGAATATTTTTCTACATGCCCAACAACAAAATCCTTTCCCTAATTATTACATTGCAAAAATACAAACTAAAATAATAATCGATCATGATAATACTTGTAATTATTTCTTCGAATCTTATTATGGTTTTTCTTATGATTATTACTTTCGTCGTTCATTGATAGTTAGGACCAATCCTATAGAATATTTTTCTACGTGCCAGTGCACCCTTCCTAATTGCATTGCACCAGTCTGTGACATTTATTGGCGTTGATTGATGCGTTGCATCAGTCTCTTGCTTTACGATTCAAGGTTTGACTTGTGCGCGTGCGTGCGTGTTCGTCATGTCGCATATGTTACACATACACACACATACACGTACACCTACATGTATACGGGTTCGCATACAGTGGCCTCAATAAAAACGAGTGGTGCTATTATCATTGCGATATATAACGTCGTAGGCTTTTGGCAATTGGTCTTTTTTTGGTTGGTCGTCGTCCTCGTAAAACGCATGCATGCATATTGAATCAAAAGAAAAACAAACTTTATAAATGAAATAGGATATAATTAATTTATTGAAAAAAAAAGGTTAATCAAATTACCTTGATTTTTATTTAAATTATTTTATTTTCTTTTAAATGCATTTTATATTTTAATTCAACTCGTTTACTTTGTATGTGAAATACTTTTTTATTATTCGTTTCAAATGCATTGTATTTATTTTGTTTTATTTTGTTCTATAATAAAGTTCACAAATATTGCTAGTAAAAAATATATTTATGTATATATATATAAGGATAAATTTATATTTTTAATTAGATTTGTTGGAAAATTGAAATGTAATAATAATTAATTGATTTCCTTGTGTTGTTGTTTTTATCCTTAGAAAGAAATGTTTTCCTTAAAGGAAGACTTTAATAAATGATATTTTTATAATCATTAACGAAATCGAATTAACTACTCACGGTGAATACTTCGTTTTATCTTGGAAAGTAAAGAAATGATTACGAAATATGTTTTTTTTTTTTCTTTTTTTTTTTTTTTGAGACAGACAGAGAGAACGACAGACACGTGCGTATTTAATTTATTTCCAATATAATGAGCTTAACAGGTAGTCTTAACAGGTGTCGATTGAAATCAAATTGAAATATTATTATTATTTGACATTCTATTTCATTTGTATTTTTTATTCAAGATAGAAATGAATTAAATAACTCGCGAATATTTCGAAAATAATTGTTAAAGATTAACACGAAATATATTTTGTAATTTGTTTTTTTTTTATTAACGAAACCAAAAAAAAACCAAAAGTCTTTTACAAAATGTATAATTTAAAGTATAAGTAGAAAAAAAATTGTTAACAAAAAAAAAAAAACGATGATGATAGGATCGAAAGATATCATCATGAAGATCCTAGAAAAAAAAGTATCACGTAATTAAAATTAACAGAAAAAAAAATAAAAAACAGGTAGGGGAAGTTAATGCATAGTCACGGTGAAAGCGCCAAGTGTTCAAAAGCGAGATCCATGAGTGTGTAAAAAAAGCTTCATACTGATACATACCAAAGTATATACGTGCATATTACACATATATACCTGAATAATACATATTTATACATATACCATGATCCACAAATTGTTCTTATCTCATAACGTGGTCGCATCATTTTCCACAGAAGAACCGAAGCCACGAGCGTGACTCTTTCCTAGAAACTGACAGCCCATTTTCTTTTTCTTTTTCTCTTTTTTATTATTTTTTTTTTTTTTTTTTTTT